ATTTGCTGCGAAATACTCCTCCGCGAAGCATATATCCATATCAGAATCTGTTGTCGCCACTGTTGTCTTCTGAGAACTCCTCAGACCACATAGACGACAAAAACATGAAAGGTTATTATTGTTTGGATAAGGTTTTTCTTTTCACATCAGGTTCCTTAATTCATTTGAATGAATTTAACACTTTTACTACTTTTAATTTCAAAAACTTCAGTTAATTAATTAGGTGTTTTATTGTTATGAGTGTTTTATTCACTCTTGAGCCTAATTAGTCTTTTTTCTTGACTGTGTCTTTTGTGGGGTTTCTTGTATGTCCTCGGTGTATTATCTAAGGATGTATCTTGTTTTTTGTAGGAAATATGTCTTTAAGTGAAATGGTATATAAATTTTTACAGTAAACTTTGTTTTTGTTGTCATTCTTAAGTTGTTGTTTCCTTACAATGATGCCCGATGACTGTTCTCTTACTGTCATTAGTTTATTATTTTAAATAGATATGCTTATCTACTACATATTAACATCAACACCTATTAGTGTCGGAGGTAATAAATTGACTTATCTGCTATTAACCAAATGTATATTTGATTAATTTCCTTTTCATTCATTTTCTTAACTTGTATTTTATTTTGATTTCTACGTTTTTCAAATTTGCTTTTGCTTCAATTTGTATCTTTTCCAGAAAAAAGGAACATCAAAAGGTTCTATAATAGGTACTTCAATTTTGATATATGGGTATTTAGTTTGCTGATCATTGATGAAGAAACACTGCTGATATTGTTATGATCTATGCAATGCAGTTAGGGCAGGCAATACTGAAGAATGTCTTCTTCCAAATATGTTTAAAGCACTGCTGATATTGTTATGATCACATTCGAGAATTATTTTATCTGCCAGAGTCATTTTGCTTGGAAAATTTGTCAAGTGAATCCAGTAATCAGCGCCTGCCTCTGTCGCGTACCCGTGGCCCACACTTAAGACTGGTAATTGCACGTTGATATAAGCATTTTCTTGATCTAATTGAGTTTTTTTACTGCAATGAGGACTGCTAATTTTTTCTGCACCGAACCATACATAAACACTTTGGTTTATGCTTTGCAGAATTGCCCTGGTATTCCTCCTCCTGGTGATTGTCTATGTCGTTCTGGCCTTCGTGGTGCTAAAGGTGGCAGATGGTGGCCATGGAGGTACCAAAGGTGGAGGTGGGTCAGGTGGCAGCATCTACATCACTGCTTATAGGATGTAAGACTCTTTTTTAATGCTTTGTGTTTCTATTTTTTTTAATAGATAAAAATTGAAAAAGTTTTCATAGTGTTCACTATGGCAGCTGGATATACCTCTGCATTTTACCATATATGATTAATCAAGTTGGTTTATATAGTTAATTTTTGCATCTTATAGTTTTGTGGAGGCTATTTACCCATGCCAGCTTAATGTTCCTAAGCATTTTGTCATCTATGATTAGTTAACGGGATTCGTGTATACTTTTTTTAAATGAATGAAAGTTTAATTCATAGAGGAGGAGGCTAATTCTTGTGGCATATTTATATTCGTCTGCATTTAGCATATATGATTAATGTCAATTATGTTTGGTTATAAAAAGATTAATAAAATGTTATTGAACAGAAGAGTATAAATTCCTTTGACAAGTTGATACCCCTCTGCATTTTATCATCTATCATTCATGTGATTCATGTATACAATTATATTTTTTGTATTAGTTAAAAGTTTAACTCACAGAGGAGGCTAATAATATTTGGCAGCATGATACCCCTCTACGTTTTTGCATACAATCCACGATGATAAATGTCAGCTTCTACTTTTATTTAGTAAAAGGAGCCGCCAATCTGTTTCTATGAATTACTTCAAGAGATTTCTCTACGATCTAGGAGTGGCAGAGGTGACGGTGATTTTTTTCCCGATCTTAGGAGCCGGTTGTCCTTGATGCTTACAAAAGCCTCTTGTAGCATCCACTCCTTCAGTTCTGCTAAACAAATTAGTCAAAAACTGTTGAATTTTAGCTAATCATATTTTGCCTACAGAAAATTTGAATTTTAGCTAACCAAAATCTATTTGGTAAAAATAAATTTTCGGCTTCATGCTTACAAAAGCCTTTTGAATCTTAGAGGATAATAAATGGTGTTGCTGAATGCACCAAGTTTACACAAAAAATCATAGTTAAATGTTTGGCTCGAGCTTCAAGTGTTATCCTTGCTTTCGGGTTCCCTGAATTTTTAATCGTAATGGAAAATGAAGGTTGGAAGCTTGCACAAATTTATCATTGGGTGAAAGAGTGGATACAGATTGAACTAACTTGAGGTCACACTTATAACTTTGCGTATTTCATATTTCATTTATCCTTTAAAAAAGCCTATACTTCGTAATTATGTTGGTTTCAATATTAAATGTTTGATGAGAACTTCAAAAGTTACCTCACTCTGTCCCCTGCTATTGTGATTTTACACCCGATGAAAATTAAAGGATGGAAACTTGCTCAAATCTATCAAGTGAAAGTGCATAGGTGTGGATCGTTGCGCTTACCGCTACACTAAAAGCAATCGTTGATAGTGTAGCACGCCCTTCCCCTTTTATAGAACAGGCAAAGCGCCACACGGTCCGATTGCACCGGCAGGCTGGCAGATTGCTGACCGCAGACCCGCGGCAGGCCCAACAATCTCCCCCCCAGCACCTGCTAGCCTACAACTGAGCAGCATGCTGTTGCCGGGGGTCGAATCCGTGACCTTTGGCTCTGATACCAATTGTGGATCGTTGCGCTTACCGCTACACTAAAAGCAATCGCTGATAGTGTAGCACGCCCTTCTCCCTTTTATAGAACAGGCAAAGCGCCACGCGGTCCGATTGCACCGGCAGGCTGGCAGATTGCTGACCGCAGACCCGCGGCAGGCCCAACAATAGGCTAACTCAAGGTTAGACTTAGACTTTTCGTCTATTTAATACAGCATTTCCTGTGTCCTTTTACGAAGTCTTACTTATAAATACGTCGGTTTCAGTTTTTCCTAACGTATTAGAACAGGTTCTAGGCCACTTTGTTTGTCTGGTTTTTCATTTGAAGGGAGTGTCTGAATCTTAAATTGGAAAGCTACAGAGAGAATGATAGGTTAATTAAGCCTTGATTATTTGACCAAATAATCAGAATCATTGATGAAGCAATGTGGTTCTCCTGATGATATTCATTTGTTGCTGATGATAGGTTAATTAAGCCTTAATTAACTTATCATTCTCTCTGTAGCTTTCCAATTTAATATTCTGACACTCCCTTCAAATCGAAAATCAGACAAACAAAGTGGCCTAGAACCTGTTCTAATACATTAGGAAAAACTAATTATTTTTCTGTAGCTTTCCAATTATTTTTCTGATGATATTCAATTTTTCAGAACTAACTTTTAAACTTTATTTTTTCTGATTATTTGACCAAATAGACAACACGGAAATCAAGGAGAACGAGGAGAACCACATTGCTTTACAAATGTTGCTGATGATATTCATTTGTAAAGGTAATTGTAAGAAGTTCTAATTGTCTGCTTCCATCTCAGACTCTCACTTCCGTTAAAATTTGTAGAAGTGCAAAGGCTGGTTATCAACTTATCACACATGCATCAAGCTTTTCTGGGTCACCAAAACCAGGATCTTAGAGTTAAGGGGTTTAACATTTTGCTTATACTATTTATCATTTCTCTGTCCATCGTGAATACTTCAAAATTCTAAATACTCCATACTGAGGAGATTTTGGTTAAGGTAGTCTTACATTATCTTGGTAATGTGAGAAATGTAATTTTTGTTTCAACTTTTAAGATTATCGGAAATGAAGAACCTTGTTCTGATCCCTCTTTTAAAACTCATAATGCATACACTACACTTGATCCTCCCATGTCCAGTGATGATAATCCCAATCAATCTGAGGACACCCCCCTATTATTACTAACCTTGCTAATTCAGGTCCACCAAATACACCACAAGATGAGCTTAGAGTATCCCTCTATCTATTTTACTCATCTCCACTGCAGAGGGCGGCTAATATTGCATTGACGTATCCAGGCTAAGGCTTCCCAAAACTCAAAATTAAGCTGTGAGAACAATTTAATCATTTTGAAAATACACCCCTTACATATTTGTTTGTATGCAGTTAGTACATAATGTAGTTAGTGAGTTGTCGGAAATAGCGATTAGTGATTAAGGTCAAAATTTCTTTTCAATTAGTGACTTAAGTTGATTTGGGAAATGAAATATTGTATGCGGATTCTAACCCAGTCATCGGGGAGTTCCTCTGCTATTTGAAAAAATAAAACAGCAACCCTTCTGCCATTCTTAATCCCCGAATATGCTAGCAAACTCTTGCTCTCTTTTCTTAATTATTTGTCATCCCCATTGTTGATGTTACTTCAATCGTTACAACAACGCTTTTACCATTTCGATTTGTCTTTAAACAATACAATATTGTGCCCGCTTGATTGAATTGATATTTCCTCTGTTGTAAACTGTTTTTCCCCATTTTTGACTTGTTTCCAACCATTGGGCACGGATATCGCGCAACGCGCGTTCCCACCAGAATATTCAGAATACAATGATGTGTATTCTGAAACATTATTCCAACTCAAACTGTAACTATTCAGCTCTTGCGATGCCCACCGGAACTCTATTTTGTAAAACTCTTGTTACTATTTTTTACGCACATTTAGGTTGCGAATGCAGAAACAGCTCTCTATGTGTGATCGAATAGTTATTTCCTATTTGTATTCTAACATGTTTTTCCCATTTCCTTCCCTGTTTCCAAACATCGGGCACGGATATCGCGCAACGCGCGATCCCGAGCTAGTACAGTTTATACGCATCGATCTTAAGTCACGAAATAAAAAAGGTGGAATCTTAGGCATGAATACAATCTAGAGTACTGCGCCTTTCTGATTAGTATAGTCTAAAGTTAGATGCATGGCCGATTCGTGCATGATACTATACCCATCCACTTTGTGTGTGTATATAATTAACTATCTATGCACACACATATATGTACAAAAACGTAGTTGCAAGATCGATGCATTAATTTAAGTAATTTACTAGATATATATTGGCAGGAACATATAAATAGCGGCGAGCGGTGGCGGCATATCTATTCATGGCGGAGAATAATCTTCAGATTGTTCCGGCAGAGACATCATCCAGCAGAAGCAAAGTGGAAGCCCAATATGTAGAAATGATGGTTCCTCTCTATTCTCACGGATGCGTGAGGAAGGTCAAGAACGCCTTATCCCACATTAGAGGTATGCATTGGAAAAGCGGGCAATTTAGACTCCAGCCCAGCTCAAATTTAGAAAATATCAAAAACGTGTAGAATTTGTTGTTTTAGAAATTTCCAAAATAATGTTTTAAAGAGGGAATTTTCAAAATAAGAGTAAAATTAAAACGTTTGAAATTCCAAATTAGGATTGTCATTTTTTTTTTCTGAATATAAGTAATTTCTGTCAAGTTTGACACTTTCAGGCTTTAAGCATGTCTGTTTTTGCTACTGGCATTTAGGGGAAAAACATGAGATCATATTTTAGAATGTCAAAACGTTTTTACTCGCATTTAGGACAATTTCTTTTTTCTTTTTAATATTTTGGCATTGGTTTTTACATGACACGTTTTATTGTTTATTCTAGCATCTGAGCGGTTTTGATAAGGGAGAATTTGACTTTGCACCCCACTTTTTGGATGATATTGGACTTTGCACCCCATTTTGAAAAAACTTTGATTTTGCACCCCATTTCACCTCAAAATCCTTTGACTTTGCACCCCATTTAGAAATTTCCCTTCACAAATGTTATATGATAGGGTGCAAAGTCAAAGTTTTTTTAAAATGGGGTACAAAGTCCAATATCACCCAAAAAGTGGGGTGCAAAGTCAAATTCTCCCTTTTGATAATGTACATATTTGACTGCTACTTTTTTTTTTGAGAATATATTTGACTGCTACTTGAGTACCAAAATTACATTTCGAGATCGGAAGCTAATTAAATGGGGAATATGTTTCCAATAAACAAAGACAATTTTTCATTAATTGAATTGGAAGTATCACCCGGGCCATGACCCTCCCGATTATACATACCACGGAGTAGCATATCTGGTTATGAGCAATGAGTTTAGAGTCTTCACCAAGTTACCAACAATGGCTAAATTGTGTGAATTTAATAGATGTGTATGTAGTGTAATATAGCGACGGGTCGACCTTTTAGAGTAAAGAAAAAGTGCTCGAGCGATCGGTGAGATAATTTACTGAGAATTAAATTGATCACATATTATCACAATCTGATGATATTTACATATAGGCTATATTTGGTATAATGTAATGTAATACAATGTAATGAAGTGTGTAATGCAATACAACATGCAATGTAATGGAACGGAGTCTCCATTCCATTATTATGTTTGGCTTCTTAAGGTAATAATAACTTTGAAACGTAATCACAATTACATAATTATGTTTGTTTATCTATATGTAGAATTCGATCGACTATGTAATCAATTATTTGCAATATGTCAATATGTCAATTTTAATATATTATATTTTTAACAATATGTCAAATATCCCAAACAAAACCATCACTTATTTGTACTTTCAAAATGACAAATGGTTATTTCAAAATGATCAAAAACATATGGCATGGAAGTGCTTCAATTTATTTAAAAACTCATAACCCCCAAATCTGCAAAGCATTATTAACCAAGAAGCTAAAGAATTAAGTAAGTTTGTCCGACAACATAGTTGTCAAGAATTAAATTACAACACACGATATTAAGAGTCTCTTTGGTAACTACATTTTGGTTTATCAATCAATTTTTTATTATCAAATACATAAGCAAAATAAATAAGATCAGAGTTACTTTTTTAATTGAATTGACTGAACGAAATTATAGCTACTTTAATATAATTTTTTCCCAATGTTATTAATAAAATATACTACCTCCGTCATTAAATAAAATTCCACTTTCCTGGGCCCTCCCTACAAAAGTCTATTTTCCTTCTTTATAAACAAAATAGTGCAAAACATTGCCGAACAGTGTCAAAAAAATGTCAAACGTTGTCTTTTCTTTCAATTAATTGTGTGTAAATCAAAACGAGACTTTCAAATAGGGATGCAGCGAGTATTTCAATTATTATTTTTTCATGTTTCAATTGATTTTTCCAATTCAATCGTTTCAATTCTAATTTTATAATTTTCAACAAATTCAGCCTAATTATTAAATTAATTTTGATGTTTCCAAACAAATTCTATAAAAGAGTAACGGTCTAACATCTATAACCGTAGAATGTATTTGTATGAGTAGTTGGGGAGCTTCTCAAGTGATTAGTTGCGTTGGCATCTATACCGCCAACATGATTGGCAGTTAATGGGCAGGCACATGGGGCAACATAAATCGAAGCGACATCTTAATGACTCCATTCTCATCATTCATCAACAAATTCAGTTAACTGTCGTTCTTTAAATGTTGCACTTCCCTTTCACTAATATAATAATACATGGTTTTATCCACCAAATCCTCGCGGGAAATATAAATTTGATATATTAATTCGTTGTGATTTTTAAAAAAATGATTGTTTTTTTTTTGTATAATTTAGAACTTTGACAAAGTTACATGCATATTCAATCATATTATTAAGAAAAGTGATTTTAAAATTGTAAAATACTAAAATTTGTTCTTGGAGTGAATTTGGCGCATGATTAATTATAACACAAGATAATTTGACGCATATTTCAAATCACAGGACGTTAATGCACCAAATTTATTTTACGAGAAGGTTTGGGGCATTGAGGAATCTTTGAAGCGTGTTAGAAGCCTGGTTGAGCTTTTGATATTTTTCCCAGATTTTTTCAGATAAAATTCTACTGTCTGAAAAATCGAGTTTTTCAGTATTGATCAGAATTGCAATCTGAATATACCGTTAGATTCGTCTCGTAGAGACGAGAAAATTGGTATTTTTGGGGATTTTTTTGGCCACCGGAAGCTGCCGTACGCGCCACCAAACGCCGGCCAAAAACTGCCTGCGTCATGCTGACGTCATCACGCGCAGGCAGAGGTTGAAGACAGCTGACGTCATCAGCCAGCCAGAGCTGCGTCAGCGACACGTCAGCGCCACATGTGAGTCCCAGCACAGTCAGCCGCCACGTCACCAGTCAACTGCCAACTTTCACCAGCGCCCAGTCAGCTGCCACGTCACTGCCACGTCATCTGCCACGTCACCGGTCAGTTTGTAATTTTGAAAATTTGCAGTTTGGTCCCTCAATTTTTGGAAAATTATAATTTCCAGCTATAATTTTTCGAAAATTGTATTTTGACCCCGAAAGTGCCTACCCACCATTTTCGGCCGTTCCGGACGCAACGGTGCTGCCCGTTTTTTCAAAATTAGGCTCCGATTTTTCTGAAATAGAAAATCAAAATTATTTAGAAGGTGAAAATGACCTTTTGACGAGTCAACTTCATCTTCCGGAGCTATGATTATGCTCACGGCTACCAACTACACGCTATGGAAACCTCGGATGGAAGATTTCCTTAGTTGTAAAGACCATTTTGATCCAATAGAGATGAAAGATATTAATTCTGATCCGGCCAAGTCAACGGAGTGGAAGAAAATTAATAGAAAAACTATTGGTCAAATCCGACAATGGATTGACCATAGTGTCTTCCACCATGTTGCACAAGAAACCAATGCTTATGCCCTTTGGGAAAAGTTAGAAGATATGTACCAGGCCAAGATCGCTAGGAACAAGGCCCTACTGATGAGGCGTCTTGTCAATATGAAGCTCAAAAGTGGAACTTCTGTTGCCGAACATACTAGTCAATTTCAGAGTCTGGTAAATCAACTATCTTGTGTAGAAATGCCACTTGGAGATGAAATGCAATCTCTACTACTTCTTAGTTCCTTTCCTGATAGTTGGGAGACACTAGTTGTTACTCTCAGCAACTCAGCCCCAGATGGCAAACTTACCGACGTCTGTGGTCCTTTCGAGGTGGAATCAATCGGTGGAAGCAGATATTTTCTGACTTTTATTGATGATGCTTCTCGGAAAGTGTGGGTGTATTTCCTGATTACGAAAGATCAGGTATTTGGTGGAACGTGAAACGGGAAAGAAGCTGAAATGTCTCCGATCTGATAATGGAGGCGAGTATACTTCTAAGGCGTTCGATGCATATTGTAGAGAATATGGCATTCGACATGAGAAGACAGTACCACGCACCCTCAGCACAACGGCGTTGCTGAAATAATGAACCGGACTATCATGGAGCGTGTCCGGAGCATGCTGAATATGGCTAAGCTTCCGAAGTTATTCTGGGCAGAAGCAGTCAACACCGCATGCTACCTTATCAACCGATCACCTTCGGTACCACTGAACTTTGAAGTTCCAGAGAGGTTATGGTCAGGTAAGGATCCTACATACTCACATCTTAGAGTATTTGGCTGTTCATCATATGCACATGTATCCAAAGAGCTCAGGCAGAAGCTCGATGCAAGAACTATCCCATGCATTTTCGTTGGCTATGGAAATGAAGAGTTTGGATACAGGCTATGGGATCCTAAGGAGAAAAAGGTGTTCAAAAGTAGGGATGTTGTGTTCCACGAAGATTTGACAATAGAAGACATTGAAAAACCCACAATGTCTCGGAAGTCAAATGAGGGTGTTCAAGTTTCAAATGAAGCACCAGAAGAGGACAAAGTGCATGAAGATAACTCAGAAACAGAAGAAGACGAGGAGACAGAAGAGAGTGCAGAGCAAGGGGAGACACAATCCACCCCGCCAGACACAGATGATGGTAGCTCTTCTCAGATGGTCCCTACTGTTCCTAGATCTGAACGAGGGCATATACCATCGACAAGGTACACATCATCTGAATATCTTTTTTTAACTGAAGATGGAGAACCAGAGAGTTTTCAAGAAGCTGTATCTCATAAGGATAAAGAAAAATGGCTAATAGCAATGCAGGATGAGTTAGAATCTCTGCAGAAAAATCAAACCTATGAGATCGTAGAACTTCCCATAGGGAAGAAAGCTTTGAGGAATAAATGGGTGTTCAAGCTGAAGAAGGATGCAAGTGGACAAGTGGTGAAACACAAAGCTCGGTTGGTTGTCAAAGGATTCTAGCAGAAGAAGGGAATTGACTTTGATGAGATCTTTGCACCAGTTGTCAAGATGACCTCAATCCGAGTTATACTTGGCTTGGCAGCAAGTATGAACTTGGAGCTTGAACAGATGGATGTGAAGACAGCATTTCTTCACGGAGATTTAGAAGAAGAAATCTATATGCATCAACCGGAAGGTTTTGAGATCTCAAATGATAATTTTGTGTGTAAATTATCTAAGAGTTTGTATGGTTTGAAGCAGGCACCAAGGCAGTGGAATAAAAAGTTTGACTCATGCATGAAGAGTCAAGGCTACAAGAAGACTACTGCGGATGAGTGTGTATACATCAAGAAACTTCCAGACGGTACTTTCATTGCTCTTCTACTATATGTAGACGACATGTTGATCGTTGGGAAAGATGCAGTGAAGATAAAGCAGTTGAAGAAAGAACTCTCTAAGTCTTTTGATATGAAAGACTTAGGACCGGCTCAACAGATTCTTGGGATGCAGATCACTCGAGACAGGAAGAATCACAAGTTATGGCTTTCTTAGGAGAAGTACATTGAACGAGTACTTGAGAGATTCAACATGAATGATGCCAAACCTGTAAGTGTTCCACTTGCGAATCACTTCAAGTTGAGCAAAAGAACATGCCCTACATCCAAGGAAGAGATCGGGGAGATGTCAACAGTTCCATATTCTTCTGCAGTTGGGAGTTTGATGTATGCCATGGTATGCACAAGGTCAGACATCGCACAGGCAGTGGGTACAGTGAGTCGTTTTCTCTCTAACCCCGGGAAGGAGCATTGGGAGGCAGTCAAATGGATTCTCAGGTACTTGAAAGGTACCACGAAGTTATGCCTTTGTTACGGAGGAGCTGATCCAGTCTTGGAAGGCTACACAGATGCTGATATGGCCGGAGATACTGATAGTAGAAAGTCTACTTCAGGATATATTTACACTTTTGCAGGGGGAGCCGTTTCTTGGCAATCAAGATTGCAGAAGTGTGTCGCTTTATCTACAACAGAAGCAGAATACATTGCTGCCGCTGAAGCAGGTAAGGAAATGTTGTGGCTAAAGCGCTTTCTCCAAGAACTTGGGATCCAGCAGAAAGAGTATAAGGTACATTGTGACAGTCAGAGTGCTCTAGACTTGAGCAAGAACTCCATGTACCATTCTCGTACAAAGCATATTGACATTCGGTATCACTGGATACAGGAGACGATTGATCAACAACTGTTGAGACTAGTGAAGATCAATACAAAAGAGAATCCATCAGACATGCTGACGAAGGTGGTGACACGAGATAAGCTAGAGCTATGCATAGACATAGTCGGGATGCTTGTTTTGAATATGCCTGGACGGGGAGAATTGAAGAATTCAATTTCCAGGTCATATCCAAGTACAAGCAAATTGAAGAATCCAATTGTGAGCAACATCCATGAAACTTCCTCCATGTGCAAGTATGTCTCTGGGAAGTTTCCTCACACCAAACAACCACCTTCCTCACACCTCCATTGAAGCTTCTCCTAAGCTTCCACCCATCTTCCTCCCACCTTCCTAGTACCTAGTTTTGGTGCTATAAATAGAGAGCTTGGAGAGTCTTTCTATCATCAAGCAATTTAGATCATAGATTAGAATACCACAACCAAGTTTGAGTTGTGAATATCCTTGAGAGATATGTGAGTTGTTTTGAGAGTTTTTAGTTAGAACTTGTATGTCTCTTCTTTCTATTCTTGAAAGTAATAGATAGAAGTGTTTTTCTCTCAAATTAGCACGATCCTGTTATTCCCAACAGTATATGTGACGACCTGCTCTACGTTTTCAACACAAACTTGTAAAAACGGTTGATTGATTGAACTGCTCATAGGTTTAAATTATAAATTCAATCCCAGAGGCCACCCGGCCAATTTGCTCATTGATGTAATGGTACATCTAGACATCTAGTTTCTTCATTTGTGGAGGATGATCTTCACTGATCTTAATTTCTATCATATTTTTGCAGCTTACTCATCTTATATATGGAATAACATTTCATAAGAATGCACAAAAAAAACATGGTACAAAATAAATGGATGAAATGGCCATGGTGCAGGAATATACTCGGTGAATGTGGAATTTAATGAGCAGAAGGTGACAGTGTGGGGGATATGCAACAAATATGATGTTTTGTCAACAATTAGGAAAAAGAGGAAAGATGCCCAGTTTTGGAATCCTGAAGACAACGACGACGACGTTGAACCAGAAGGAGGCGGGGAAGAACAAGTACTATCCCAGTCATCGACGACGAAAGTATCATCATCGTTTCTAAAACGTCGTCGTTCAGCCCAACCATTGGCTTTGCTTAGGTCTCGCTCGCTAATAAGTTGGAAATTATCTCTTAAAAAAGTTTTTTCCAGGACTCACTCATTTTAAATTCGTCATGAATGTGTGTTGTTTAATAATGTACATTTAAATGAGTATGTTCTATTTATTTGTAATTAACAAATGATGTATTTATAATCTGCATTTGTACTAAGATGCATTTATTTAGTACTGCATTATATATGTAGTACAGAGTAATATATTATACTTGAAGCAAATTGCCATATTGTGAGATGGGAAGACTAAAAAAGTGTAATATTGCACTTTCAATCTAATTGCACTTCTATGTCACTATGTATGTGTTCAGTTTTATGTACAAGTAAGAGTCATTTTATGATATTCCTAAATCCCAACTAGCTATATGTGCAATTTTTAGACTTCAATTAATTTGGTATTTTGGTGTGAAAGTACTTTTAGCTAACTAATCACTTCGGGTATGAGAGCTAATCAACAATTGTTTCATTGATAACCTCAACTCTCGGTATTGCAAGAGAAGTCAGAACGTCAGTAGACATATCATCATTGTTAAACAAATTTCATACTTCGTAATTTTTTTTTGAATGTTTAGTACTAGAAAAGCATAACAGATCTCATATCAATGTTTTCATAGAGAACTACAGAGCATATGAATGAATGGGCAAACATGAACACATGTTTTATATTCATATTACTTCGTATATTATAAATTATATATGATGCATCTATAGTTGATATATGAATTTTGCGCATTTTTTTGTGACTTTTAGGCCATCTCTTACAGTTTACACTATTTTTTGTACTAAAATGGTGTAAACATCACATCATACAGTGTTTTATCTTCAACAGTTTACACCATTTTCATCATTAAAAAGGAATATGCATTTTCTATTCTTTTTACTAACTTTACCATTATTATATTTAACTATCTAATTATCATATATTTATACATTAGCCCCTCATTAAATACTAGTATGTATTTTGGCATTTCACACATCATTTCACAAATACAAACTAAAATACTACTCTAATTATTATTATTTTTTCTATCAAATTAATAATTTAAATTTGTTGTTCTATAATTTGTTGTTCTAAAAATGGGTCAAAACTCTAACAATCAAAACTTTGGGTTACATTTGAAATAAAAAATTAAAATAGAAGATAACGCAGGGGATGGTGTGCGCCATATATGGCGTAAAGCCAAACTCCCTCCCCCATTTTGGTGAAATAGTGCAAAGGATGGTATAGCAGTTGGAGCAATTTTTTGGCAATTCACCCCCCATTTTGGTGTTGGAAATGGTGATGGTTGGAGATGGCCTAAGAGTTCGAAATTCTACTTGTAATTAGTTGTGCATATAACATCGTGACGGGATAATAAGTAAAAATATAAGAAAATCTCTTAACATAATGCTATGATTAAATATGCAAATAAATTTTTTCATCATCATCATTACCATTGTACCAGTGGCGCAAAGGTTCCCACCTATGATACAATAAGAGGGGGTCGGGTGTGCGCATCTTTACCTATGCACTAAAAGTACAGAGAGACTGTTTTCGGATGAGCCATGCAAATAAATTTGTTAAGATATCTAAATGATACCTAGTACAAATATATTAATCAATTTTTCTTAATTCATTATTTAAATTTGCTATTGAAGGTGATCATGTACATGTTTATTAGAACACATGGTGGTCTAATACATTTTTCAAAGCACATGAGGGCTAATGCACATAGTTTGTACTTCTCATGAGGTGGTTTGATACATTTAATTATATGAATTATTATTGAGAATATCTATCAACTACTCTTAGAAAAACCTGAACATAATGAAGAATATCTAGTTTTCAATGAATATAAAAATGTTTTTGTTTAAACTTATTTCGATATCATATCAAACCAAATTTAAATAATAATAAATTATCCGTAGATTATAGACGTTTATCGAATCAGATAAGATCAGATATAAACAAATTACACAAAATTAGAACAAATTTGAATAGACTAAACCATAAGTTTTTGTTCAATCCAAAAACAATTGGATTAAATCACACTACTCAGTATCAGGGGCGATCCTAGGGGGGTGAAACAGGGGTGACCGCCCTAGGCCCAAGAAAATAGGGGGAAAATAGGCCCAAGAAAATAGGGGGAAAATAGGCCCAAAAATATTTGTTTTTATATAGTGTGAGTAGGCTTCTTTTTTAATTTTTAAGCTCAATTAATTGACTCAAGGTTTAATTTTTAAAATAAATGTAAAGTGGCACACCTCTCTTAACTCTTTTCGGATCTCGAAATTTATAATCCTTTTAATTACAAAATTATCAAGTTATGTTAGGCCTCCAAAGTCCAAAACTCCCAATTCGCAAAGCCCATCAAAATTGATTTGTTGTTTCCAAATTCCAATATCAACAAGAGTAAAGATTGATGCAAAGCAGTGATTGCCTTAATGTTTCCAAAATATTATCTCGCGCATAGGTTACAAATCTGCATTTTGTGTGACCTAATGTCATATTCAGTAATGACATCTCAATTAACTATGTAACCATTGAGACCATGCTCATTCATCAATCCCACTCCAAAATACATATTGTGTCTCAATACACCTAGCCTGATTGGACAGAAGTTCATATGGATCGAAGAAGTATTTTGCCCCAAACTTGAATTGTTAGATTTGGCTCAATATTTCCCCTACAAATCTTTACACCCATCTTTGAAATCCTCTAAGGCACACTCTGTCCTTCCGTCTAGCTTGTATTATATCTTTATTTTCTAGTGAAATACTACCTCTTTATCTCTATCTCAAAAAATTCTACTTACTTATCCTTTTGGGAAACCCAAAAAAATCTTCTCATTTCCCTTTTCAGAAAGCTTTGTGTGACTACTATTCACTTACCTTTTTATTACGCATCACAATAATATATTTTCACTTTATTCCCGCTTTCTTAAACTCCGATCCAAGTCAAACCGGGAAGTATATTCCGGGATGGAGGGAGTTGTTGGGTAAATGGCCCAAACAGGGGTTCAGCCCATTACCCCGAATCAGAGGAACGTCCTGATGTCAGAGGAATACAACCCGTAAAGGGAGGAGGACGAACGTCTCCGCCCATGGTTTAACAATAGTGGACCTAGCCGCAAGCCAACTAATACCTGGGGCGACGAACCTCGTCACCCAAGGCCCATCTCAGCGGATGGTCCAGCCCAGCGCCAAGATGGATTCTATCAAGGGCCTGCAGACGAACGGCTTACAATCCTTGGCTGCATCATTAAGGGAAACCCCAGATCCCACTGGACGAACGTTACCACGGATTAAGCGGGAAACCCAGATTCTGGCGGGAAACGCATTTAATGCTGGAGATTTGGTGGTTGGATCACAACCACTCGCAACCCTCCACGTCAGCGTAGCTAATTGCCCATTGGCGGGTATAAATAGAAGCATTTATTTCATTGTAAAGGGTTGGCAACTTATTAGCCTTAGCATTCTAGCTTATATCTCTTACTCGCAGCTCAGATTCTTGCCTGATAAGACGATCGACCGATGCGCTTTGTTAGCAAGTAGATTGTATTAGGGGGGTTATTAAAAGATAATAATACCTAAACTCTTGCTTGCTATTTCCTTGTTTCTTGATCCATCTGCTTGGTTGTTGGGCTAGTCACACACATATACACCACTCCACTCGAGATCTTTGGGCTTACGCGTTGGACCCAAGGGTTGAAGGAATAAACCTCAACAGGAGGGCTACATCTTAGAGCATCTCCAATGTTATAATGTGCACGGTGCACATGTGGCATGAGTGATAGCCACATAAATATTATCAAATAAATTATCTCTCTCCTTATTTGAATGATTTTATACAATTTTGGTAAGTTTTTCCCTGCAATGTCAACAACAATGTCAACAATTAGACGGTCTCCTTGACATTGTGGAGAAAAACTTACCAAAATTGTATAAAATCATTTAAATAAGGAGAGAAAGAATTTCTTTACTAATATTTATGTGGTCATCTCTCATGCCACGTGTGCACTGTGCACATTATAGCATTGGAGATGCTCTTAGTTTGTTAATCTTTAATTAAGAGGCCTCCAACATTTTACAAAAATAAGTAAGTTTAAAGTAAATAAATTTGAAATGTATTTTTTAAATTCCATAAATTACACTCATTCAACCGTTTAATCCAAAATTTCACCAATTTGAGTCAACTCAACCAAATTAGATGTTACCAATCAGATACTTAATTAGTACTCCCTATCAATTTAATTGACCCATTTGCTTTTCACGGAGTTCAAGACAATTACTGTAGACTTTATTAAAAGTTAGAGGTTTTTTGGTACTATAGCGACACTGTAGTGGTACTGTAGCAATATTGTAACTGCTTTTTGAGTGAGATTCTTTCCAAAAAAGGAAAAGGGGTCAATTAATTTGATACACCAAAAAAGGAAAGTGAGTCAATTAATTTGATAGGGAGGGAGTATATGATATGACCTACTTTAGTCGAATATGATGGTCTTTATGTAAGATTATATGCTACTACATTCTTATCATTTTTTTTAAGAAAATGTTGTTTGTACACGCCATTTTACCCGTCGGCTAATTGGTTGTATAGAGATCTTATCACAAAACGAAAGAAATTGTTTACATAAGACAATTATTAAGATGACTTGTACAAGGTGACATGCACTCGAAGCATATATACTTGTTTTTTCTATTGTATGTTTGAAAAAAATATTTATGTTATTCATTCTAGCTTATTCTTGCCATTTTCATAGCTTATGTAAATGTGAATACTATACCGACTTACGCCCGCAGTTACTGAAGTACGTACCATATTTTCAACCTTTTTCTAAATCCATCAGTATAGTTTCAGTAATCTACGGAGTATATGAATTACACCGTTAGGCCAAAATAACGATCACATTAAAAAATCTGATAGAAATTATATATGTACACATATACGGAGTATGTTTCTATTTTATTTTGGAGAACTATATAATTACCAATTAAAATATTCTCTGTGTCTTTAATTTTAAGCTTGTTACACTTTTAATTTTTTAAGTTTGCTACACTCCCTTTTTGATAAGTTTTTTCTTGAAATGTTCAATTGCTTGTACTTTTTAGTATCGTATATTGTTTGTCTTATTTTTCATACTTTTCCACTCCCTTCTACTTTTTTT